TATTTTACTGCCACCGAACAGCCCGGAGTATAGGCTGGGTAGTGGAGTAGACTCAGGTCCTCGCTGGGTTAGCTTAGCTCCCATCTCAGCTCTCCTCTCTGGGCCAGTTTGGTGGCGTTTGGTCCGGCAGGTGTGGCTGGTTGGTCGTCCGTGGGTTTTGACAAGATCGTGTTGACAAAGAGATGAACAAGGGCAGGACGAATACCGGCAATGGTAGACGACATTGCCGTCCAAAGTTGTTTTTTATTCTATTTTTTACTTTTCGCCGTCCTCAACGACGGAATTTACAATCCGCTGTTACGTACTGTAGCCCTCTCGGTTGTTGTAAGTTTGCAATAGAATATTGAGAGAAAGCTGCACAATACACAACATGGTTTTATCGAGTATATTTTATGCCATCACCACAGCAACATATCGTCATGCATGTTTTCGTTTTTTGCCTGGCGTCATCCAGAAGGTTTTGTTCAGATTCCATGTGAATGCAGCAATAAAAAGTGTGTTACGTCTTTTTTTCTTAATTTACCAAATAATTAGTCCAGAGTGTTTGGGTATGCTGTTCAGTCTCCTCACATCTGGTTCAGACAACAGTCCTGGGTTTTGTGCGTTAGTGCGACTCCTGTGTGTGTGTGTGTGTGTGTGTTGTATGCAAGGAACAAGCAAGATGTTATTTAGTCTGGACAAAGAGAGGCAGAGAAAAAAGCAGAGAGAGAAAGAGAGAACGCAATCAGAAAACAAAGGGTGAGACTGCGGACCAATAAAACTACACGGAGCACCAATACCTTAAATCAATAGACAAACAGAATCTACTCCCTATTTCTTCTTTATTGGATCTGTCTGTGTGGATATGAGACACTACTCTGTGTGTGTGTGTGTGTGTGTGTGCGCGCGCACGCCCTGGCCATCCCAATTGCAATCCAGCGAGGCTTTAGTATCGAGTATATTCAGGGCACAGCAGTGATATTGAAGCACGGGTCCTGTTCTCTGCTCCAGTGCTCTCCAGTCTGTCCTCACTATAGATACAGCTGATGTAGCCACAAGCCCCGTGAAGCCTTTTGATAACACAGGTATTTGGACAGCAGTGTTTTCTACAACATCGGTTGTCGACGGGGAGATTCAGCCAGCTCACAATCCCCAAAACAACCTCCAGGACATGTCTTTCAGACGGATTACTGCATGGTTTATAATAAACCGAGCTTAATACAAAGGCATGTTTTCATGACATAAATAGAAAGGACAGAATACTACAGACTGAACATGGTAGGAAAGTCCAGAATGCATTTCCTTTCAGGGAGACACTGTTTGGAATTACTTAAATTACTGAATTTCCATATGTTGAGCACACCATCCGTGTCCAAAACATGGACGCATTAACGGGGTCGGTGAACACAGTGCATGAGAGTCAGCCTCGCTGTCGATGGTTTCCAGTGGCCAACCATAGTAAAGCTACAAAGTAGGCCACCGCCATTATAACAAACTGGAGTGCAAAACTGTGGACAGGACACCTTGAAGCTGCAGACAAGGTCAGTTCCTATGCCAGAGCCGAGATAAGCTACAGTATGTCTATGTGCTGCCGCCATCCTAATGTCCATTCGAACAGAAAGAGACACGTTCATGACTGATGGGACGGATGGTAGAGAGAAGGGGAAGATTCCCATGTTTAGAACCGGCCAGTGTTCGTATGACTGCAAAGATGGTCATGTAAGGGTTAAAGGAGCTGTGTTTAACATTGAGAACATTAATATAGCAGCAAACAACTATTAGATATGTAAAGATACAGTGGAGTAATATCTAGCTAAGCAGGGAATGAAGTTTCTCTCCCTCACTTTCAACATGTTGAGAGACATTTAGAGGCAATTAAAAATACTGTGTATTAACAATATAACACTATGTAAATTATATTATCTATTGCATTGAACTACAGACTATATTTATATATATATAGTCTATATTTATGTGTGTGTTGCCTTTTCAGGCACATGATTATTAAGTCAGGTATATCGCAACTTTCAGTGAATAGTATCAGTCATGATTATGTTAGATATTGACTTGAATGCTATTTAGAAGTCTTAAAAGCTGGCATAACGCTGACGTGGCATGAAAGCAGCATAATGCCACAAATAGCAAATCAGAATTGTGTTATAGTATGATTAACCGTGTCAAGAGGCCTTAATGCAGGGGCAAGAGGTGTTGCATACACTAGGAAAGGTATTGTTCAAGGATAAACCAAAACCGCAGTGACAACCTGTCGCCTTCTGCTTTCCTGTGGCTGCTGCGGGCATCTTTCAGCGTTACTTGTAATATTTAACCTCTTGCCTGAACCACAGCTAGGCCCCATCAGACTTCATTTCAGCTTGATAAGGCAAATTAAAACAGGTCAGAAATCAGTGAGGCCGCTACAGTGCCTGTTAGATGGACACATTCAAAATAAATGCTGTCAAATAAAGAAAACTTTCCATGTTCTTATCCTCTCTTCATGCCTGGTCCAAAGTATAAAGTACTGTGAAATGCAATGTCCTCTTTGAAAATGAGCTGATTTTCCTGCAATCCATAAAATGCGTCCAGATATAGATTTGAGGAAACAGCTATTATACTTTCTCTGAAATAACTGTGCAAAATGTCACAGTGTGTGTGTGTGTGTGTGTGTGTGTGCATATGAGAACTACTAAGTATCCTTGGAGGCTAACGAGGCTGTGACAAGCAGAAAGGCTTGTCCCTGTCATGTTGTTTGTCTGTTGTCCAGTCCACCAGCTCTCACGACAATCGCATTGACTGAAAAATCAATACAATTCTCCAGAGAGAAAGGGCCAGACTTAAGTCCTGCCATCTCTCCGCCCTACTTGTGCAGTTAACGCTGTAGGTGACGGTGAAAAAGGTAAGGTTGTCCTCTCTGGAGTATATGAGGGGTGATTAATGCCACAGACAAAGAATAAGGGTGGGAGAGCTGATCGGTTTATTATCGAATATTATCTCACACTGACGGACTATAATGTATCGTGTTGTTTTATGTAGTGTATTTATTGTCATGGGGTTGTTGTTTTTGTACAACAGATGCAAATGAGCTTCTAGATAACTCTGGTGCAATTAGTTTTAATTGATCCCTGCAAAAGTAAAAATAAAATAAAAAATAAAGACAACCCTGATAATAAAACTGCCACCTTTGAAGCCATTCCATTTGTAAAAGATTAACATGAAATACTTGTGTAGTTTGTCTATTGGTCACATAGCCACACACTCTCCTTGTGTGAGCAGTCTGAAGCTGGAGCATTTTTAAAATGTCCCTTCATGGAAGCAAAACACATCGGACCAGCCATCAGACACCAGGCTAAATGAACACTTTCAGTTCTAATTAACTTTAGTGCAGCGCAATTTATCAAAATCACAATATGGCCTGTGGCAATTTTCAAATTCCAGGGAGCGCAACATTTGTTAAATGGGTGAAAATACCCTTTTAAATGAAATATTGTGGTGCTGCAGAGATGTCCTGGCCTACACATCATTTTCTACAGACTTCTACAGAATGGAAATATCTTTGTTTGGTACAGATCCCTGCAAAAATCACACCATTATCATTTTAATGTTTTTCAATCAAAATAATAATGATAAAATAAATGATGCAAAAATGACCATCCTAACATTGCAATTTATAGTGCACTTCAATGTCAGCCCTTCTCTAAAAGACAAACTTCAAACGCACTTGAAGAAACTCGCTGAACCAGCAACATTAAAGCTACAAACAACCCACAATGCAATACTCCGTAGGAGGGTTACACCAGTACACTCTCCGTTAAAAACAGACTGTTGTGCAATGTCTTATTCTGTCCGGAATATGACGCCCATCTGTTCAAAAGTTTCTAGAAGACAGTATCATTTCATATTCAGGCCGATGCGTGACCTAAGGGAGATCATTCTGACAAGTGAAGCAGCTCCTTCTGGCAGAAAAAAATGTCTTCTTTTTAAGCACATCTATGCTGGTAGTCCATTCTGACAATACGTATGACGCTCAATAATGTCTCTGGGATTCAACGACAAGGACAAATATTTATATTACGATTTAGTTGACATATGTTTACTCGACTGTCTAAGGTGTGTGTAGGTGTCGAGCTCCCGAAGCTCAGACACTTTGTCTTCCAAGAGAGGAAACAGAATCTTTGCAAACTCTACGTTAAAATGGTATGTTTTTTTTTTTTAAGCACTTGAAGATCCAATCATCACTAAAGCGTGTGTCATGCAAGAGAGAAACAAATGGAATGGTCAAAGTTGACATATTGACATTTAAGGTGCGTTGATGGATTCAAAGACCCCAACTTACAGTAGAGTAACGTGCAAGAAAACATTCCACCTTAAAAAGCTGCTAGTAGCTACTGGTAGCCTTTGTGCAGCACAGTGAATCTCTGTCTATAGCTAGCTTACTGCTTCATTTTTTTTCGGCACAAGTAAGTATATCAAATTATTCAAAGAACAAACTGATCAAAAAACACATTTGGTGTTTGCAAACGGAAATGATGTAGATGTTTATTTACATATATAGTGTCAGGTGTGAACTGACGACTAAGGTGTCCACTATTTTGATTTTGTTACACCCATAAAAAATATAAAAAAGGAAAAAAAGAGTCAGGTTTAGGGTACTTGATCTGTGTTTTTGCTGTGGCATTAATTGCCCCTCATACAATATGGTAATAGAGCCAGGTAGCATCCAAAGGACTTCACTTTTCTACAACAAAGACACAGATGAATCTAGTCATCTACACTTATTCATTGAACCCAGTCAAACACATATAACCGCCATAAATAAAAATACCCAGGAGCCTAAAGTAGCAGTGAGAAGATATTAGGATATTAGGCTATAATTGATAAAGATCTATGCATTCACACTCGGGGGTCACACCTAATGCCAATTTTGGACTTTTGCTCAGCACAACATTGATACAAATAACAACCTGACAGGTAAGATGTACACTGCTAACGGCACTTGGCAGATGCCATATCAATTCACAACTTACTTGAATCTCCCCTGACAGTGCTGACACTGATCCCCGACCCATCCGTGATCGCACACGCAGGTCCCGTTGATGCACTTCCCCGACAAGCAGTCTTTCTCGCAGGACTCGGACACCGAGGAGGCTTCCGCGCGGAGCACGAGATGAAGCATCACGAGCACTCCCAGGTACGTTCTCAAGACGCGTCTCGTGGCCGCCCAGGTGCACAGATGCATCCCTCCGACATCATCCATGATGGACGCGAAGTGTCTTTTTTTTGTGGGGGGGGCTGCAGCCCCCGGAACAGAACAAAAACGAGGTGTCACCTTTACGCTGTGAGGTGATCAGTTATCAGCAGTGGGGTCGATATAAAGTATCCGACCTGTGACGCGGGGGAAAGGGCTCCGGGAAGCAGTGATTACGCTCTATCGGAACATGCAGAGCGGTGTGGGGAAAGCTGCGGGACCGGAAACTTTGGTGGAAACAGTTTCGACCTTTAAAAAAACACCGTAAACGCAATTCCAACCGGACCAATCCGTTCGCAGCAACACAAACATAGAAGCCCCTGTTACGCGCTCTGCGGCGCGTGCCCAACAAGTCTTCCAGATAAACTTCCACTGTGGTCAAGGATCCGATGTAAACACCGCGACCGGATGATGCTGCCTCAGCGTCAAAAGGCTGTAAATCCCGGAGATAAATCAGCAGAAAAGCACGGAGCTCCGATGAACGCCGTGCGCTGCTCCCACCCTCGCCGGATGTGTGCGCGTGCTGCCAGACAAAGACGTGCCCTCTGCCCGGGTTCGTTGTCTCAGGATGCGACAGCCGCAGCTCTCCCCGGAGCTGTCTGCTATCGCTCTCCTGCTCCACAGCTGGTTTGTGACGGGGGAACCTCCTGCACAAAGCCCCGAGCATGAGCAGTGCGGCCACGCGGTTAAAGGGGCAGAGCCAGTTAAACGTCAGAAAGGCTCCGTGCAGCGGGCTCGGACACCGTGCAGAGACAAAGCCAGTGACATCCGTCTACAGCAAGCACGGGCCCGCTCCGTCTTCCGATTGGCAGGTCACACTTGAAGCATGTATAAAATAAACAATACATAATATAGATAGATAGAGAGACTTGACATTGGACAATATACATATATATATAAACATATACATGTATGTATATATATATATGTATCTATATATATGTTTAAATATGTGTATATATGTATCTACGTATATGTTTATGTATATGTGTATATATACATATATGTATATATATATCGTTTATATGTAGCCCCTGGTTTAGTCTGTTTTGTGGTAACTCTTGAAATCCTGTAGTAAATTATAATTTATACGTTTTTTCTGGAAAATTCCAACACTGGATGTTTATTTCTTCGAGGCTGGGTACCAAGAGAAATGTGAAATAAACAAAAAGGTTACCCAGTCAATAGAAATATGTTACACAAAGTCTCTCTCATGCACACACATGATGAAAATGTGTAACCACAAGAAATGATAAGCAATAAAACTGCAGCACAATGTTCCTTTCTGCTGGAAACATTGCTTTGAGACGATTTGGAGACAGCGTAACACATCACTTCATCCGTCAGAGAGAGGTCTGGTAGATTACTCAAATATTATCTATTCAGCCAGAAATAGTAAATCATGTGAACGCCCGCGGTGACTGTTGCCTTCCAGTCTGTTCATCTATAGATCAATCAGTGATCGGTGAACACCGATCACTGATTTTGGGAAGGATTGTATTTAAATCGGAAACAGTTGGTGGATCTATTGGAGCTGATTCACAGACATAACATCACAGATATGACAGGAACATTAAAACCACACTGACACGGCAGAGGCCTAATTCCTCAAACTGTCTCCTTGATTTATAATATTATCTCACTTTGAAGGCTTTAAAGACACAAAAGATATTCTTTTGGAGCCCAGCGGAAAACAAAGCCAAGATCTGCATCTGTGTTCCCCGAGGGCTCACGGAACCATCCAGCGAGCCAGACGACGATCTAATCCGCAAACCGAAAGATAGACTCGCTCATCTCAGGAAAGATATCGCTCCGCTGCAGGCTGACGAAGAGAACCACAAGGTTTAAACGAGATATTTGGTGCAACATATCTGAGCAGAGAGAGCTGCTGGATCACAAGGTGAGTGTGAACAACTGTTGCATGAGTGAGCTTATTAAACCCGGTTGTTTAAAAATATCATTTTACGACTTTGGTGCCTTACCCAATGGCTCCAAATCCATAAACTTCCTGCCAGATTTCTGTTGATGTTTTGAAACTCAACACAGCTGTGTTCCCAGTTAAGCTTGGAAACATCGACGGGGATCTGGGACGAGGAAATTTGGGGGATTTCACTAATGGGCTCTGCTAATGCTAATAGGTGCTACAATGAAATCAAAAGTGCATTTATTGATTAAATTATTTTGTTGTAGGCGTATGGATAATGTGACATTTACTTAACACTCCGCGAATCAATATTTAACAATGAAACAAAAGTCTGTGTGTAATGTGAACGGGGTCACCAGTATCGACTCGGCAGGTATGAGAGTTTTAGCCTCTTTATGGGCGGTGGGCATGTGGACTGGCGACATCATGTGTATGTACTGTATGACAAAGTGGGCGAGAACACACCATTCGTCCCCATATTTCACCGCCATATTCTGACAAATCTAACCATGCTTGTTAATCGTTTGTTGAGCCATAGTTCCATCATGATCTGTAACTGAAGACACTCACTATCACGGGTTTGTTTGTGTTTTGTATTTGTTTAATTACAGTTCATATAATGTCAACGTCACTGGTTCAAGTAAAACAGGTATTGTTTAGTTATTGTTATTGCATTTCATTAGTTACATCTCTCTTTGTTACTCACCATACCCACCATATGTTCCAGAGACTTCAGGTGCCCAACCATTTCCTCTATTTATACACTGGGTGACAGCAGTGATGTCATGGAGGGGGGATAGTTGTGATCTGTTATGCATGGTTGTAACTGTATAGCATATGGTAAACTATCTAAAAGTGTTTTCTACCTGAAGGTTCTCAGTAAGGTATAGCTTTTGTAAGGTATAAATGACAGCATTTATGTTTGCATGAGTAAATATGAATTGTCCTGTGGGATGAGGCCCGTCAAAATAGCTCGTGATGCATTGCCCTAAAGAACACCTTTGTGTGGTGTGGTTAAATTAAGGCAAGTGAAACTTCTCAGTTGAGGTTAAAAAACAGATTGTGCAACCCCGACTGTTGGTACAGTAGGAGACGGTATGTAAGCTGCTGTGTATGCTCCCCTGTCAAAGTCACTTTCTCTGAGATAAACTCCCTGATTCAGGAAAAAAAATGGCTGCTTTTGGAGAGAAAGATGAATGAATGCATCATGAACGGTCACAGTGACTGCTGGTGCTCGGTCTGTTCAGCAAATTCAGGGAGTGCGTCTCACAGCAACACAGATCCGTCTTCATCAGCTACATAGGATTAAGACAGATTCTATTTTCATGGGTTTTGTTTTGCTACAATAATTAAATATTTCACATCCACTTTTAAATGAGGAGCCGTCCAAATTCATTCCAGTCACTTTGTCATTCACTGCTTTCCCCACCGTTCGGAGTCACACTTAGCTACCCAAATCACTCCGGCTGATTCTTATTTAGATTCCATATTATCGAACTACGGCAGGTTTTTCTGGCAGCCGGCCACTTCTTGAGGAAACAGCTGGTTTATTGCAGGCTGGCTTTTCCTTTCTGTGCCCCACCCGGGACACGCAGCACTACACACCTTGCTGCTGCTGACATACACTTCTTTCTTTGCCCTAATTTCTTTTGTTTCCCACAACAAGACCCGGGTTCTGCTTTGACTTTTGCAAGTCAAGATAAATGACAAGGTCAAGGACGTGGAGATAACACCCCCCATCAATGTTCATTAACTTACTGATGGGTTATGAAGTGTTTCTAAGGGTTTGGTGTCACAAGTCAGTATAATGAGACGTTGGCAGCGAGAATGTATTTTCCATCACCTCAAATATATCCGTCTTTGGTGTAAATGCATGTAAATGAAAATCATCAAAGGCCCGTCTACTTGTTCTTCAGCATTTTCATTCATGTCGTCAACGTTTTCCGCCTCCGTGCACAAATCTGCGAGTTTAAAGCCCCGCCGGACAACGAACAGTGGTATTAAACCTCGCTGTTAGCCTGTGGGAAATTGGTTTGGCTTGTTGTTATTCCTGCTGCTTGAGTTGGATTCTATTATAGATCGTTTTTTAACCTCCCCCCACGGGCCAAAGTAGGAATATTGATTGGCTTACACAAAGAACCTACTGTGAGGAAAAGGAAAAAAGGAAGAAAAAAAAAACTAATATTGATTTTTGACAGCTTGTTTATAATTAAATAGTGGAATAACTAACTGCACCGGGGGGACGTGGATGAATGAGGATTATGAGGATATGAAGCACACAGAGTGGCTACATGGGATGCCAGTGGTTTTCTGCTCATCATGTTTCCATCCATGCTGATATTAATATCTTCCACAGCCAGCTGTGTGGTGTTTAATAGGGCAGATGTGCCATAAAACATTGTGTATAGACTGCAAATTGTATGAGATCGCAGCCATTTTACTGAGACGAGTAGAAAGAACGCACACACACACACACACACACATGTAGAGGGAGTGCATGGAGAGAGTTAGTGGATGGCAGAGAGAGAATTAAATGAGCCTTGGGAAAAAGATTATAAAAGATTATGATTTATGACTGACGTGTTGGTGTCCCCTGGTGTTTTAAAGCTGCTAATGCACTGATAGAAAAAGACACCGCTGGACCCATCTATTATTCACAAATACATATTCGGAGTCATTTTGTGTCGATGTTTAAGTAAAAAGTTCACTTTTGACCAAAGAAGACATAGTGAGCGATCTAATTTTGACTTCCTGCATCCTCTGGTGGCCTTCATCAACTGATGACGTTCACTCAACGTTACTGTGTACTGACGTGCAAAATTAGAATCTCAGAAAAAGGTTTAAAAAAAGAATAAAAAATGCAAGTCCACTTAATTTTCAAATCTATTTGTTTACATATTTGTCACATGTGGTTGTTGGTTTGAATATGAGTTCAAATAAAACAGATGGCAAATGAAAGACATGGAGGAAGTGGTTTTTAATTGTGATATCCAGATGTTCACAGTAAAAAAAACATGAAATGAATGCAATGGTGCCATTTGCTGTATATTCCTGAAAAAATGTTGGGGGGGGGGGGGGGGGGTATTTTCGTCATATACAGATATGATTTATATTAATAAAGATATAATATGATGATTGCTTGGTAAAATGTATTTTCATATTGTCCAAAGCCAAGTCGCTATTTGATCATGCGATGAGACGGTTCAATGGTGTGTGTGTGTGTGTGTGTGTGTGTGTGTGTGTGTGTACTTGATAACTAGTATCTTCTCCATTTAGTCACTGAACTGACATGAAGATGATCATGGATGACGCTGAAATAATGGTTATTTTTGGTAGGACTTAGAGTAAGAAGTCATTTTAACCAAATGTGAAAACGAGTCCCACAATTTACTGAAAATGAACCCTTAGTTAGTTTGAGAAGATGATTATGTGACTGTTTAGTGGAGTTTATACTCAAGCAAACATTGAGAGAGTGTTAACAGACTGAAGCTGAAATCAATTCAAAGTATCAACTATCGTGTATTTTCATTAAAAAAATAAAAAAGGTTCTCAGGGTAACTATTTAGGAAAGATAAACTGTCTCTCATTGTTGTTGTTTTCTCACTGAACTTCCTCTTTGACTCACACACATTTTCCTTTCATTCCTGCAGCCACAGAAAGTGGAAACAAAAATGTTCCTTTCAAGCTTTATTTTCCTGCAGTCCCGGGTATTTTACTGTTCTGGTGTGACCATGGTAACAGTCGTGAGGACAGCTACAGTATGACCCTGTTTACTGTTACCAAGCCGTGTCCGAGGTGTAAAACAAGCCGAGTGAGAGGGGTGAGAGAGGGGAGAGAGAGGCAGGACGTGGCAGACGTCCCGGGGATTTCCTCGGCCTGTGATTGATTCCTATCTGCAGAGCAGAGACACATTGGCTGATGTGTGTGATGAGAAAACAAGGTGTGCAAATGAGACAGAAGTATGTTCCGTTCAATTAATGGAGAAACGCAGAAAAAAAGAACAGTAGTTCCTGTTACCATGGCCTCCAAACGTTAATAGCTGTATTGTTTGTTTCTCTCAGCAGCCGAAGAAAAATACTGAGACCTTGGTACAAAAATGAAGCTTTTTCTGCATCAAGAGGGTCAAATCTGCTTTTTAAGAACATGAACTTCAGACTGAACTTCCACCAAGCTCACACTAGATGGTAGCAATCACTCACCTGCACCAGCAGCTTTTTTTTCTGGCATTTGTTGTTGCAACTGCCAAAACACAAGAACTGGTATTTGTGGCCCAATTATTGCAACCACACAAGCTCATGGTCATGTAGCGTATCTATTGTCCAGATATGCAAAACCATAAACAGATTCTCTGCTTTATGTTTAAGTCTGACATTTTAAAACACACTTTCTGCAAATAACTACACTCAGTTAGACACTGACTAAAGGCCTGTGTGTGTTATTTGCTAAACACTGCCATTGAAATACCACACTCAATAATCAATCATCTGCACCCAGAATGCACCTGGGATAAAACCCTGTTACCATTTAGATCACTTAGAAATCAGAGCTCGGACATCATGAATAGGATTCAGGTTTGCACAACAATGGAGGACAATAATGCACTTTAATTGCAATATATTTTTATCTACAGTACAATACAGTCACTATGTCGTCTTAAAGTAATTGTGTCTGACACTCTTGTTAATATATGAGCATTAAGAATAAACACATTTGTTTGTTTCCCTGTTGTGTTTGTGTTTATTTGTGTCTATATTTACAACATGAAAAGGCCCAAAACTCTAGATAATAGAGTTTTATACTTTGCACATCAATGTGCAGTTGGCATGTGGGAGCAGCCAAACATATAGAGTTTCATTAACCTCTATGGTGGTGCAGTCCATGGATCCAAACCCTGTAGGAGTACATCATTTGTCTCCTGCATGTGACATTTTTGCGGGAGTTGGTCGCATCACCAAAATATGAAACAGTGCCTTTTTAGACCAAACCTTATCATTTATTTATTGCAGCTGTACAGGAGTTGGTTAAAGCCTGAAATGGCAAACAATCTCCAGGAGGGGTCAGCCACAGTCGGGGTTTAAACATGCTGAGTTGCAACATACTGTGACATCACATTCATCCTCACAGCTGTCTGACACAATATTTACATCATGTTTTTTTACAGGGTCCTCGTGCAACGTGGGTCATCTCTGAGGGCCCCTGTCTCCTGAATGGTGGGGGATTGATCAGACTGCACTCTCTTATGCAGGTTCACATGTAACATTTTGTCCAAATCGAAAGGGTCGAGGTCAGAAAGTAATCGATGATTAAAGCCCGAGTCATCCATACTCTCTTCACTTTGCTTTTGATTCTCTATTCTGTCGAGCACAAATAGTCTATAGTGTATTTAAAGGAAACTTGTCTGTAGATTTTAAAGATATCTTGGCTGCAGTTGTTATATTTTCTCAAACTATAACCAACTTATTTTGGGTTTAACGAGAGAGATTTGCGGAGAAATCTGGTGATGCATTTTGTAATGAAAGTCTTTGAGCAAACTCAGGAGACAGAGAGTTGATTCTCTGTTTCTCTCTCTCTCCATGATGTGATGTCTGATGTTTCCACTGTGCACACCGCTGTGTCAGCATGCTGGCTGTGCAGATAAATGTGCTGCACTTTGTGAGGATGGTGACTAGCTGTTGGCCTTGTGCTGTCTGTCAGGTGCAGCGTGCTCCTGCTCTAATGTCACTATTAGACACATTCCTGTGTTTCACTTTCATGGATGCAATCCATATTTTGTCTATTATAAAGCATTATAAAGTTTTACGATCAAATTCCCCCTCACATGCTATGTCTGCCACAGCATGCAGACTTTCATTTTACTCCCGGTGGATTATTCAAAACAATGATTTTTACAGTGGTCTATTTTAAAGAAGGTGGGCATGTCATACTTGTGATATTGTTTTTCTCAGGTGGAGGTGAACTCTGTTTTTACATCTTCATTCTTGGTTCTCAAACTGCAGGCAAAGTTGATGGACAATGTTTTTCCTCATGTTGGATTTTTAATGTGAAAATGTCGGCCATGTTATCTGCCCAGAGAACTGTTTTTGTTGCTGCTGTTTACATTCCTGATGATGCAACTTTTTTTTTTGAAATGCTCTACACCGGAATGTGCTACTGTTTTTGTTTTGTTTGTCATGTGTTTGTCTTGTGCCACAAATGGGCTACAACTGAATTTTGTTCTGCATGTTGCATAATGACAATAAATGATCCTTGAATCCTTAAAACTTACAGTAAAAACAACTGAGTTCGATTCTTGATTGACCAAATTCAAGCCCTGAAAGTCGGTTGTGTTCCACAATCTTCCCTCATCCAGCAGTGATCATGAGGTTAAACAATGAAGTTGCTGTATGTTTAATACTTTTTTCTTTCTTAGATCACACATTCAGACAAAATATACCCACAAAACTGTGCGGATATATTGATTTGTTCTAAAATATTCATGAGCCTGATTTGAGATAATGGGTTTAGATGTTTTAATACCGAGGCACACACAGAGAGCTGCTCACAGCGTGGTCATGACTCATGTGGCTAATAGATAGTCAAATTCCATGCATGCCTCACATATCCCGAACCCAAATTCCCCTAAGGTCTCTTCTTTTTATTATCATTATGTTTTTTTTCATTTGGCATTTATTAAGTGGATGAATGGGCTTAAAGTATGAATGAGCTTCAGTCATGTGCTTCATATTGCAGACAATTCGGAAAAAGATACTTCACACCTGTTTCCCTGCATTTTCTACAGTTTCGCGTGCACTACGGGAGCTGCAGCGGTGTCTCTCCTCTCCTCTCCTCTCCTCCTCTCACCCAGCTGCTGCTCCAAAACCGCCTCCCTAGTCTGGGTTGCGTCGCACTCCCCCGTCTGTCACACCAGGCTTCGAGGAAATCTGACGTATTTTTCGCATTTCCTGCACCAGAGAGAGAGAGAGAGAGAGACGGAGACAGCGAGCAGTGTCGAGACACAGACAGGGAGAGAGAGAGAGACGGAGAGAGAAAGAGACGGAGAGGCAGCCAGAGGTATATCCACGGGAAGTTAAGATCAACAGCTGTGGCTGAAACCAGTCCGAGCACAAGGAACCTACCTACCTACCTACCTACCTACCTACCGCCGTAATCTGCCCCTCCCCTCCGCCTCTGCGGCGGTTCTTCACGCTACACCAGCCGCTGTCTGGTCGCAGCGGTCCGGGCTCGAACATCCCCCCCGGTGCGCCACGGCGGCTGTGCCAAACAGTCCTCTTGGAGCCTCCCATCTACCGCCACACGGTGCAATGCAGCACGGGCTCGGGGTTGTAAAGAAAGTCGGAAGTAAAGAACAACATGACTGACGTGTTTGTGTTTTTTTCCTCACTGTTGGTAGCTGTTGTTCGTGTTTCTTCCGTGCACTTCTAAGGAAGGTTCCCCCTCCGGTTACCGGTCGTTTCTGTCGCTGCAGTTTATTTTTTTGAGGGGGAGTATTTGTAAGGATTTACAGCATCTGCCTGGAGGACCGCCGGTGAACAGAGAGGAGAAAGGTGAGGTGTTTCCATCAGAGAAGGTTGCGACCGCCGCGCTGCCATGGTGATCTTCAACGGGATGCTGAAGATCCGGATCCGCGAGGCGCTGGACCTCAAGCCCACGGCTTGGTCCCTGCGTCACGCCGTCGGCCCCAAGACCCAGACCTTCCTGCTGGACACGTACATCGCCCTGAACGTCGACGACTCGCGCGTGGGCCAGACCTCCACGAAGCAGAAGACCAACAGCCCCGCGTGGAACGACGAGTTCACCACGGAGGTCCACGACGGCCGCAGGATCGAGCTGTCGGTCTTCCACGACGCACCGATCGGATGCGACGACTTCGTGGCCAACTGCATCATCCAGTTCGAGGACATCCTGCACAACGGGAGCAAGCACTTCGAGGACTGGGTAAGAAGACAGGGATGTGACACTGGAGCACAGTTACTTGGTATACAATAATAAGAGCAAGAACACATTCATCCACATTATGGATGTTTTCTTAATCAATCAATTCATTTATTTTTGTCTGTACAATTTCAGAAAATAGTGAAAACACACTAAACTTGATCAGAGGCTGTTTGAATAGCTTGGTTTGTCTGACCAAGAAATATTCAATTAATAATGACTTTCAGATGAGACATTCTGCTCACATTTGATAAACTGACTGTAGACTTACTCGGGAAAGTCTTAAAACTAGATTTTGACAATATAAGACGAGTCCATACACGATTAACCAATAATACAGGACCCATTTTAGTTATTCTAATACTTCGGGCCACATATTTCAAAATAATTCAACAATCAATCAAGTTGACACCTAACCTGAGCCTTTCATGTAATCCAGCATTGCCTCAGAGAAGCTTGAACCACTGAATGAAGGCATTTTAGCTCGATAAACAATTTCTCTCTCACACAAAATTGTTGATTAATTTGCTTTTGATCAGCCAACCGAATAACTGAAGGTAGTTTCGGCCGTACAACATTACAAAAATAAAGTCTTTCACTGGAAAAAAAACTGAACTAAAGCAGGAACGTGTGAGTCTATGGAAGCCCGGAAAAAAAAGATGAAAATGTTAAGACTGGTCAACACAAGTCATTATTGTGAGCTATTACATACATTTCTCTATAATTAAGACATAAGTATATCTCAGTAGTAGTGATATCTCAAAATAATGACTTAAAATCACATTATTTTATCCATGGATCAAAAGGGGAAATCAGAATGTTATAAATATGACTAAGTAAGGACAGCATTAATTACATTTCCTTGACCACTTTAGAGCAAGCTGGAAACACAGCTCTGACATATTACCACCTCTATAAAATAGCTAAGGCAAACACGTGAGCAAATATTTGTACAGCAACATTATCACTCAAGGGAAGTCTTATTACTAATTCTCTCTGTAGCTCCTTTTCGGTCCTCTATGAGGCAGAGAATCCCCCAAAAAGAGGGGAAATCTCTGGCTCTCCAGCTGCTAAATATTCCGCTAACATCAGGGTCACACTATAGTAACGTTGTGGGCTGTGAAACGAAAACGATGAGCTCAAGAGACGTTGGTCTGTGGGGACTTGTAGTCTTTCACCACAGATAGGTGCCTGTACGTCGCTTTTATTAGATTGTGAAAAAACAACATTATTGAATTTGTACACATGCAGGATTTCTGCATAGTAAACGTTGTTGTCCTGCAAGGCTGGCAGAAGATGATGCACACAACAGGAGTCACTGCACACACACACACACACACACACACACACACACACAGAGTGTAGGTGCTGTTACCTTTGTTGTGCTCTTGTCAGACGAACCAGTGACCCACAGCAGAGCTACAAAAAGGCGAGGGAGGGTGCGGTTAGGCCGCATGCGTGATACGCACCGACGCAGCGGCACGAATAGAAGACGCTCATTGTTGTCTGAAGCTGCCAAAGCAGACGGATGTTTGAGTGTATTATTGATGAGGCCATCAGGTCCATTAGTGACAGAGACAGAGAGAGAGATAGAGAGAGAGAGCAAGATGAAAGAGAGGAAGATGATGAAAGAGGAGGACAGGATGGAGAAAAGAAAGTCAAGCTCTAAGCGTATTCCTTTATGGCGGCAATCCGTCCGTCAGGCTGTAGAAGCTGCGTGACGCTTCACATGTTTCGACGGTAAAGATTCGGTTCTTGACGAAGGATTTTGGAAGCAGATGAAAGCGACTGTCAGTGTTGGCATCCTTTGACAAAGCCTGGGGAAACCTTCTACTAGTCGGATCTCTGAGTTGACACCAACCAAACACAGTATTTTAAACCTGAAGTAGTTTTTAAGGCCTCTAATTGATTTCAAGTCAGAAGACCCTGAAAAATGATCTCACTATCTCATCTTTTTCCACTCACTGTAATGAAATACAGTATATATTAGCAGCCTGTGTTTTTGTTGGAGCACGTTTCAACGCGCACCCATGGGCCCCTTTAGGTTGAACGTGTCTCGACTTAAGCTGGATCATGTATTGTGTCATCTCAGACAAAGCAAACACTTGACATCACCTGGAGGCAGCTGAAGAGTTAAGTGTGGTTTCTGCTGATGACAAAAAGCCTGTCAGGGAATGGGGTTTTCATCATCTTCAGAGCAGTCTTCTAGTCGTCTCCAACGACCTCCAACCTTTCTCAGAAAGAAGTGCACGTGTGTTTAGGTGTGTCGAGTTTAGGGAAGATATATTTTTTGAAAATACCAATATGCTGCTGGGCGGACAAGTAACGCTGGAAAAAATTGAAATGAGGTCGGTGTAAAGTGTCTTGGTGCTGCCGCTGTACGAATGGGACGAAGACAGAATCAAAGGCAGAGATAAAGGTGGGACTTTGTTGCCGAAACAGACTGCACCAAACCGGAGCGTGTGCAAAAATGAATGTGCTGGAAATAGTTTGATAAAATAACAATACCATTAACAACTCTTCCAATCATGGAGGTGTGAGAATTGTTCTTCAGCTGCAGAAACCCAGTTAAAGGCAGCGTTGCTATTCTTCTTCAACAACATTTTGATATTCGGGTTAACATTTTTTCGTTACATCCTGACATCATTCCATCAATCAAATGTTCTGACAAAAAAAAGGAATCAAATCTGTGGTTGTTTGATGTCATCAGGCCTAATTATAACGATTAGACAGGCTACCTACCTGGCTGCTCGTCACCGTCACCAAAAGCTGCTTGCTCGACAGCTGTGAGTAGACTTACAATAACCGTGTTCGTTGTTTACGTTCATAACGTTCATAGTTTTGGGGGAGTGGCTTTGGACGGAGGCCTGAAGGGATTGGCTGTCAGTGTTGCAGACTTTGCGACTTTCTTGCTAGATTCAGGAGCTTTTGGAGCGAAGGCTGCTATAGCTACTTTCATCTAGCATACTAGAGCTAGTTTATCTAGATGACCCTAGCCTTAACAGTGTCTGTATTTGAAAACACCGTGCGACGTCCGCCATTGCTAACAGTATCCGCTGTGTGAGCTATGGCACCACTTCTGTTGGCATGTCCGCATGAACCAACACGTGCTGCAGGACGTAAACCCTCTCTGTGATCCGAGCGCCTTACTTCTCTGCTACCACTGATGTCCACAGCTTTGCATACGAGCATGAAAGCATCATACTCTGGAAGAATTTCAGAATAAGAAGCCGTATTCCAGGACAGTTGACTTAAAAGTTTCTCGCCTTGCTGAGAAGAGTGTAGGAGATAAAGTAGATGAAGGAGAATGGTATTAGGAAGAGCAGTGTTTGGAAGTGGAGTTCAGTTCAGTGTGGATCTGGTCTCTGTTTCTTCCTTTCATCCTCTGACCTTGCCTGAGCAAAAAAACCTTAATTGGTAGGATGTGGTCGTAAACGCCTCCGACTCTCTCTGGTCCAGAGTCAACAACTACAAAAGTTATTCTTTCCAAAGATAAAGCTCATTCCGCTTAGATGTAGAAGCGATACCATTCATCTTCAAATTTCATCTTTTTTTTCACTGAGAGTATGATCCTATGATGATATGAATGTAGGACACGTAACTCAGCGATACCATTAGGTTGATGAAGAACCACGTGATTGTAAATCAGTGCTCCTGAATACAAGGCTAGATTGTTATTTTTGTGAGGCTGCGGATTTTTGTCTGGAACGTTCCCATATTAAAGAAGTTAATTTTTATATCCTTGCAAAGACGAAATACTCAGGAGAAGGAGGATCAAGTTACGTGCAAAGCCACAATAACATGGACCACAAATCATAACGTGCACGTTGTTTGCTTCATGGCAATGCTTCAGTATGTTGTTATGTTAAAAACACATGCTGAGCAGAGAATCCTGACGTTTCAGTATTCAAATATAAAAATACATAATATTTAGAACAGGTGACTCAGCTATATAGTTTCCCTGTCCGTCTTCCAGGAAGTGAGAGCTTCACACGGGGAGAGTGGTTAGTCAGCAAAATGTTATTGTATCATATTTCATTATCATGTGGAAAACGTTTTCTTTCGCCCTTTCTCACAAAACGTGGTGTGTGCTTTGGTTTTATCACGGCACAACCAGTCGAAACAATTGAGTGGATTACTGAACAGATGTGTTATAAACTGGAAGTGCATCTCTCTGGAAGTAACAAAAGCTAAAGCGTGTTCAGAGTGTTTAGACAAGCAACAGAAACGATGTTTTTTGGAGTGAAAATCCGCACAAATTGTAGCCTCTATGTGCTTGGCATTTTATAGAGTAAATTGTTTATTGAATACTTGAAAAAAATCTCAGCGGAGTAGATAAAAAGCTTTAGCCGTCAGCAGTCTTTTTATTTATGTTGTCAGACTGAGAAACAGGTTCATTCGGGGTCAGAGTAAAAGCACCACTGCCCTCAAACGCTCCACCAGCTCCACGTTCTGCTCTTTGTTTCTCTGAATCCATTTTATACTCCCTCTCCTCTGATAACACTTTCCTTTAGTCTGTAGCACAGACAAACTCTGTATCCTTAGGGACATAAACAGCGTGGCCCAAGAACAGTGCATACAATAGTCTGATTATCCATGTTGAATCTAATAACACCAAAGCATTTGGATTATTTGGACTATGAGTTCATATCGCGTGCTGAAAAAGAGGCTCTCAGCTAAAAAGCTCTAGGTTGTGCTGATCTGTTCTCTATGAACCTGAAGATGATACAGTATCTACACCAGCTTGGAAACATAGAAGCATCAGTTGGTATTTGGAGGAAATGCTCAGAAGCTGGTATTTCAGTTAATGAGAGCGTGTGGACAGCAGCCTAAATCTCATGTTAAGACAAGTACAGAAAACTCCAAAAGTAAAAATCTGAATGACACTGCTCTCCTACAAGCCTGTACACGGCCTGTCGACAATCACCTCCAGCAGAAGATGATGTGAGCTGAAATGTGAGCTCATTATTCCAGCATGCATGACGAAGAATAATCTACCATAT